ACACTTGATTTATGTCGTGTTGAAGTTTCACACAATGGCCATTTCAATTTGCACCGCACTGATGACAGACTCAAATAGCACTCTGACAGCTTGGCCTGTGCCCATAGCAAACGCTCTCCAATCTCTGTACACAATCCAGCAGCCCTTCAGAGCTGAAGTCAGCATCTCTCTGTTGGGTGACAGTGATCTCATTCCCCGAAGTGAACTCGCAGGTGTGTGTGAAATGTAAATACGGGCCGAGACAGATCGCCCACCTGGTGGTCCATCTCTGCCCATCCCCATCGCTCATCTGCCTCCTGGTGCAGGATGGGAAATGGAGTGTTTTAGACTGCTTGGAATCTGGCAATAAACTCAATCCGAGCAGAAGCAGACAGAAATGAATTGAAGCGTATGTGAGTCGAAACGTCCCTAACCTCTGATGTTCTCACTTGGGTCATTGTCCTCGGTTCCTGCCGCGTATCGGTTTCGGCTCGCAGCAGACAGAGGCTGGATTTTTCCAATGTTAATGTGTCTGAGCAGTCGTTGCAAGATGATTTCTCCAGACCCCATGGCTCGTCTCCACCGAAGTCTGACCGCCTTCCTGTGCCGCTCGCTGTCTCCAGTTTTGAACCAGAAAGCTCATATTTCTCCAACTCGGAGGACTCTGTACTTTATGCTGGCGTCTTTCTGATGTTGTGCCTTAGCCTCATTTTTAATTTGTATAGCACTTTTCACTGTCCAAAAGCAGCTTTATAGAAAATCCACAAGTTCCACAAATTGTTTCCCCAAGTGTGTCAACAAGTTTACCTCGTGTGGTTGTCTCAGAGAGTGAACTTGTTTAAAGATAATATGTTGCAAGTTGACTAATCATGGATTTGTAATTAAAATACCATTGTATTCCCTTCATAATTTAAATAAAATTATATAATAAGGTAATAGTGAGATTAGTTTAAAATAAGAAAAATGACTACATTTTTATTCTTCAAATCATAATTTTTATTTGTTTACTCTTATAATCTTTATGGATTTTGAAGCCGTTTTTGTAAGAAGTATTTTATGCTCACCAAGGCTGCATTTGTTTTATCAAAAATGCCGTAAAAATGGTAATTTTGTAAAATATTATTACAGTTATTATAATCATTTCAAATACCTGTTTCTATTTGAGTATTGTAAAATATAATTTATTCCTTTGACGCAAAGCTGAATTTTCAGCATCATTACTCCAGTCTTCAGTGTCACATGATCCTTCAGAAATCATTCTAATATACCGATTAACTGCTTTAAGAAACATTATTATTATTATTATTATCAGTAACTATTATCATTCTTATATCAATTTTGAAAACAGTTGTGCAGCTTAATATTTTTGTGGAAAACATAATAAATTTTTTCCGTCAATTTAATGCATCCTTTCTGAATGCAAACTTATATTTGAGTAATTATTATAAGTATTATAGGGGGGGGGGGTAAAGCAAGGTTTAATTTGTTAACATTAGTTAATGCATTAGGTATTATGAACTAATAATGAACAATACTTTTTACAGCATTAAAATTGTAATATAAGAATTAACATTAGTCAGTGTATTATGAACAAACATGAATTAATAATGAGCAATAGTGTATATTTATGAATAAACATAAACCTGAATTAACAATTGTTGTGTGTTCATTGTTAGTTAGTTTATAGTAATTCCTTGAATTTTGAAATGTTGTGTGTGTATGTGTATATATATATATATAGATAAGTGTGTGTGTTTGTGTTTGTGTTTCAGCTGCTGTGTAACGGTCCAGGAACTTGTGTCCCACTGTGTGCCGCTGGGCTGCTCCTGGGCATCCTGGGCCTAAAAAGAGTCTTGATCGTCTATGTGGAGAGCATCTGTCGTGTGGAGACACTGTCTCTATCCGGGAAGATCCTCTACTACTTTTCTGACTACTTTTTTGTGCAGTGGGCACCACTAAAAGACAAATACCCAATCAAGAATCAAAATTGGTTCATCAGGCTTGTTTTGATGAACTGATTCATCTCATAAAAACGATTCATTCACGAATCACTGTCTCTCATGATACTTCTATGATGCTTTCTTGTTTTGTTTTGGAGCTTGACATTCTCATGCACTTTCATGTGTTTGAAAGTTATTTCAATTATTATTTCAAGTTCAAATTAACTTTTTTCCATAGCAGAAAGAAAGTCATACAGGTTTCAAAAGACATATGTCACGAGTATGACAGAATTTGAATTTTTGGGCTTTGACTTAAAGCTTTTAAAATGAAAAGCATGTGGCTAAAAATACAACACTGATCCTGACTACTTGCTAGTGGAAAGTAGTTCTAGGGGCTAGTTCCATTACACCATTTCCTCTCTTAATTCATGACTTATTTTCCATTTTACCCGGCTGGACACTGAAAGGCTGCAGGAAAAGTGTTTGCTTTTTTGCATGCTTACAGTTTGAGGTCAGTAGTTCTGAAGATTTGTCTTATGCTCATCAAGAATGTATTTATTTGATCCAAACTACAGTAAAAACAGCAGTATGTAAAATATTCTAAATTAAAATAACTGTTTTGAATATATTTTAAAAACTACTTTTTCCTGTGATGGCAAAACTGAATTTTCAGCAGCCATTACTCCAGTCATCAGTGTCACATGATCATTGCTTAATATTTATTTTAGTGCTGGGCAACAATTAATCACATCCCAAATAAAAGTTTTTATTTATATATGTGTGTGTACTGTGTATATTTATTGTGTGTATATATAAAGACATGCACATACAGTATATATTAAAAAAAAATATTTACATGTGTATATATGCATGTAATTTAAATTTTATATATATATACACATTTTTTTCTTAAATATATACATGCATGTGTATTTATATATACATAATAAATATACTCAGTACACACACATATATTATGTACACAAAAACTTTTATTCCAGATGCAATAATCATTGCCCAGCACTAATTTATTTATGGAAGCCTTGATACTTTTTCCAGGATTCTTTAATGAATTGAATCTTCAAAAGAACAACATTAATTTGAAAGTGAAATCTTGTAGTGTGCGCATATGTCTTTTGTCTTATATAAATAGAAAATATAGTGGCTCATAACTTTTTATATTGTACAGGGATATTAATGACTGGATAAATAATACAATTTTATAAGCAAAAATAATATGCTATTCATACAAGAAATACCTACTTTTCATTCAGTATTAACCTGCGAGAACGGTCTTAACCGTGTTTGTTTCAAACCTTTAATAGGTCATGCGCTTTCCGAGGACTTGTTTGTCTCGTTCCTTGAGTTTCATCAGCACTCTTGCTCTTGCTGAAAGCCGAGAGCTGTTTTCTGCCTTTGTTTTCCTGCAAGCTGAACTTTGGAAATGTTTCAAACCTTTAATAGGTCATGCGCTTTCCGAGGACTTGTTTGTCTCGTTCCTTGAGTTTCATCAGCACTCTTGCTCTGCTGAAAGCCGAGAGCTGTTTTCTGCCTTTGTTTTCCTGCAAGCTGAACTTTGGAAATGTGGGAAGTCAAAGCTCTTACAGTGAGATTTAGAAACATCAGTACTGTAAATCAGCCTGTAAATATCAACAAATCTCCTTGTCAAATAGAATTATTCCTTAAAATAAAACTCACAAATGACATAATGGGAAAGGATCTTTTCCCAATCAAATTAATGACCCTCTCTGGTTATGTGGTCGTTCATTACGGGCTTATTGCCAAAGCATCATCCTCTGCGCAAGTCCAGCACAGTGAAGATATTGTTCAGGCTGGTTTATTTTTACACATAGAAGAGATGTCAATTAGCAACCTATTTTTATCATGACCATTCGTGTTGCATTATATTAATCATATCAGTTGTTTTTGCCATGTTGTTTTCCCCAGACAGTGGATAGATGGACAACGATTCCTGGATGAGAGCTTTTGCAAGCCATTGAAGAATTGGTAGCTCTGTTGTTTAGTAGTTACTTTCTCTTGTATGTTGCTTCCACAGAACTTTGAAAATGGAGTTACATATGCAGGAATTCCCCCTGAAATGTTTGGATGTGGTTCAACAGACACCTTGATTCTCTCAGGCCTGGGAAAAGCGTTTTCAGACTGTAATACATTCATATTATTCCTGGCTCTCACACTCATCTCTTTCTGCATCTATCTTAGCGTGCATGTCTGTGTTGCAGTCTTGGAAATACGGCAGTAATGTACCATTGTCAGAACTTTGAAAATGGAGTTACATATGCAGGAATTCCCCCTGAAATGTTTGGATGTGGTTCAACAGACACCTTGATTCTCTCAGGCCGGGGAAAAGCGTTTTCAGACTGTAATACATTCATATTATTCCTGGCTCTCACACTCATCTCTTTCTGTATCTATCTTAGCGTGCATGTCTGTGTTGCAGTCTTGGAAATACGGCAGTACTGGGCCCACAGCATGTCCTGGGACAGGACGAGGGTCAGAACAAGGAGGTCACGGTGGTTCTTGGGTAAAACCAGACCAGGTTAACCTTAGGGCTTTGATCCGTCGCTCTCTAATGCCACATTCCATGCTGATCCTTGGCGTAAAAACACTTTTACTGCCATACTGTGAGTGCTGATGGGCAGGCGGCCCAGTGAGGGGCCGTTACATTCCCTGCAATGTGCTGATCAGCAATATTTTCCAGGTTTGGTTAAGGCTCTGTGAAGTGTGGCCATGGTTGTTAACCCCGTATTGCCATTTTAGGAGGAACAGGAAAGCGTGTTTTCCTGAGGCTATTGTTTTGCGTCTGTTGTTCAGCAGTATTTTATAACAGTGTAAACATAGACCAGGCTTATTTAAACACTTATTTAAAGAGATTATCAAGCCTTTTATCCAAAAGTTGCCTGTGTACTGAATTTTTTGCACTCCTATGCATTTAAAAGCTTTGTGGAAAAAATGTGGCATTCTGTCATTGTCATTTTGAGTGGTGATTAAGTCAACAATCATCATTATTATTTATTTTTTTTATACTTGGGTGGAAAACTTTAGTGACTAATCAGAACTCCCTAGCTATTACCTAGCAACCACCTAACAATGCTGAAAAATTGTGGTTCCAAAAATTACGCACATTTTCTTCACAAAATCAAGTTTGAATGGGCTCTTTTGACTTAGACACCTAGCAACCACTCTGAACACCATAGCGACTACCTAGCAACCAATCAAAACACTACCCTAACAATCACCTAGCAATGCCCTAGAATTGTGGTTCCAAATATTACACACATTTTTTTTAATAAAATGTTAAAAACAAAGTTTGGATGGGCTTGTTTGACTAAAGCAAGTAAGTAGCCACCTAGCAACCACTCAGAGCACCCTAGCAACGCCTTAGGAATCACCTAGCAATAACTTAGAATTGTTGTTCCAAATATTTCTCACATTTTATTAATAAAATGTTAAACAACAAAGTTAGGATGGGCTTTTTTGACTAAAGCAAGTAAGTAGCCACCTAGCAACCACTCAGAACACCCTAGCAATCACCTAGCAATAACCTAGAATTGTGGTTCTGAATATTACACACATTTTCTTAATAAAATGTTAATAAATGTAGTGAGGATGGGCTTGTTTGACTGAAGCTAGTAAGTAGCCACCTAGCAGCCAATCAGAACACCCTAGAATCACATTGCAATCACTAGAACAACCTAGCTTTTATCTAGCAATGCCATAGCAATGTGGTTGCTAATATTACACACACTTTCAAAATGTAAACATCTAGTTACTGTTTTTCAGGACAAATGTCTGTCAGTTTGTGACTGACTTAAACGGTTCCTTTTCAGATCTGAAAAATGTTTTTACAGGTATAGTAGAGCAAATCTTTCCTCGTTGTAGCTGGGGTATTTCCAGAGCACATGGTTAAATATTGCCTAATGCCGGCTGAACTAGTTGCTCACATGTGATTAAACAGGCACGCTTGATTTCAGCACCGTACTCAATAGTAGTCCGAGAAAATAAAGTCCGAACATTTGTTCGTTTAACAAGTTTGTTTTTGCAAAGTTAGCTATTATGATGCCACAATAAGTTATGCACATTTCTGAATAATTCATTCTTTTACTAATAGAGAAGTGATGGTTATTTTTTAAACAAATAGGATTTTTTTTGGAGAGGATTGTAGATTTGTTTGCATGTTGCTAAACTTTGTGTTTCTGTATTTGTATGTGTTTTTTAGCCTAAACCCAAGGTGAAAAGTTCATCCCTCCCCTCCTCCGTTGTCACCACGGTTGACATCGATCTCTCAGGGACTGTTTGTCAAATTGATTGCATCGCGTTGTGAGTTCTTTCACTCCCTGACCTTTTTTTAGTCCGATGTTTGCACGCTTTTTGTGCTGTCATCAGTAAGCTCTCAGAATTAGGAGTGGGGGAGGAGAGCTAGAGGTCGGTCTCTAGCGGGATCGGCCCACAACCTTCCAGAATGTTCTTCTTCTCCAAATGCCTCTAACATCTCCATCAAGGGTCACTTTTCCACATTTTTCTCTCTTTTTTTCTATCACTGGCTGGTTTCCCAGTGGACTGGAAGGAAAGACAAGACAGACACATGGTTCTCCAATCTTTGCTCAGTTTCTTCGTGGAGTTCTTCTGTTCTTTTCCACTCCTTTTGTCAGTCTTGATTTTTTCCGATTCATGTCTAATATAAATCACCCCAGTCAATGGCTCATTATATCAGAGATATAACCTTCTTTGTCTCCCACTACGTCTGAAATCATCCGGTGCTCTTTTGAACTATTTGGAACATGCCAAAAGTCATGCAGTTCTTCAAAGATGAGAGACTGTGAATGGTTTAGCTTTTTGTCTGTCATTATAGGAGAAAAGTCATCTCGGCTGACCTCAAATTGCACAAGGGAATAGCCACAACACCCCACACGCCATTTTTTCCTAGTGGTCTCACATTCTGACTGCTAGGCTACAGTGTGGGAGGATGTCTGATTGATCTTCAGCTTGCTGAGAGACCTTCTATGGAAGTTAATGGGGCTTCGAGCTATATATTCAAATCCCTTAGGAGGAATAAAAATAGGCACAAATGAGACAATTGTATAAAGTATGTGGATATCATAGCTCAGATAATATGTTGGTAATAGATTTGCCAAGATACCAAAGTGATTTTAGTATGATCTCAGTACAGTTTGAGACATCTTTCCTATATACTGCGATTCTAAATTAGTATTGTATTCATATATCATAGCATTTAAATGGTATTTCAAAGAATACATTTACATTTAGTCATTTAGCAGACGCTTTTATCCAAAGCGACTTACAAATGAAAGCAATCAAAATCAACAAAAGAGCAATGATACGCAAGTGCTATAACAAGTCTCAGGTTAACGTAGTACACGTTGCAAGGTTTTTTGATTAATTATATAATAAATAAAAAGAAAACCGAATAGAGCAAGCTAGTGTTAGAGGCCTTTTTTGCTTTTGTTAATTGTATAATAAATAAAAAGAAAAGAAATAGATAGAATAGAGAAGCTAGTGTTAGTTTTGTAATGTAAACAAGCAGTTAGTAAATTAATAGAGTGCAAGTCTAAAAGGAGCAAGTTTTTTTTTGTAAAAATAGAATTAGAATAGAGAGTGCTAGAGTTAGAGGGTCAAATAAAGATGGAAGAGATGTGTTTTTAGCCGATTCTTGAAGATGGCTAAGGATTGAGTTGGGCAGGTCATTCCACCAGGAGGGAACATTTAATTTAAAAGTCCGTGAAAGTGATTTGAATATTATTATATTATATGATGATATTATATTATGAATACCATAGTATTTTCATACACTAAGGAGCTATTTTTACTTAATTTGAACATTAAAAATGACGTTATATTTAGTTGAATAATAATTGGGTTCAGTAAGATTTTTTGAAAGAAATTAATACTTTTATTTAGCAAGGATGCAATCAATTGACCAAAAGTGACAGAAAAGACATTATAATGTTAAAAAAATTATATTTCAAATAAATGCTATTTTTTGAGCTCTTTCTAGATCACTCAACACTGATGGATAACAATAAATGTTTTTTGAGCAGCAGATCAGCATATTTTAATGATTTCTGAAGCATCGTGTGACTCTGAAAACTGTAAGCGTTAAGTAATGATGGTGAAAATTGGAATAAATTACATGTTAAAATATATTAACACAGAAAACAAGTACAAAATTGTATTACATGTAATATTTCACAGTATTACTGTTTTACTGATTGCTCAAATAATGCAGCCTTCAGTGTGCTTTAGAAATTCCTTAAAAAAAATATAAAAATAACCCCCCCGTACCGACCCCAAACTTTTGAACAGTAGTGTAAATAAAGCACATATGTTACCTGATAAAATGTTTCACAGTTACTCCAAAACATGGAATTATCATGGTACAAGACCAAAAAACTGTGAATGCTAATATTTCCCTCCACTTCTGAGAAGGAAAAGCAGGTATTGCAATTAACCTAGAAACTGAAACATAAGCTAAACACTAAGAGAACTCTAGCTAGATATTTGTGTGAAAACTCGAAGGGATAGGACTGTGTTTGTGCTGTAAATAAGGTTTGAGATAGCAGACAGAAGGCCACGAGGAAAGCCGTTATCATGTTTTGACGGGAAAGAGAGACATCTTCTGTCCTGAACACCTCCTGCTGAGAATATCTTATCCACCCTTTTCCCCTGTAGGTCCTTTTGTCTCTTTCTCTCATGATCTGTATGATAGCCGCATTTAGCTTTGTCTTTGTACAGTCTGACCCTGAATGCTGAACCCGAAATGGAGCCTCTGTGATAGAAGCCGTTTCCTGGAACTTGTATTATTAGCTACTTTAAATGGGTTTAAACTTGCTGTGTTTAAACTGAATTATTTAATATCCCGCAAAAAATATGTAAACTGTTTTTGAAGGGTTTCACTTGAAGCTGAAGTAGTAGCTAGCACTCATGAAGAAGAAAACAGAAAGTCTATTAATGAAAAGTGCTCGCTTAGGCATGTTTGACTTTTACTTTTTTTAGAGATTTGAATAACCTAACTCTAACTTATTAAACTTTGATGCCTCAAATTACTTTTCTAAGATTTACTTCGTCACCTACTACACGATAAACAGACTTAACATTGATTGAAGGAACAAATGAAACCATGTCACATTTCATTCAGGCATTTTGTAAAGATCTGCTGTTAGTCATATTTGTCCGTTCAGAGCACATTATTCAATATCAGCTGGTCAACGGTGCTATTTACAGTCAGAAAAGTCCAGAGAAAGAGCGAAACGGCCAGAATAGATTCACGCTGTGACTCTTTGTGGGAATTTTATGCTCTGTTGTTGGCACAATCGCACGTAGGTGTTGCATCACATGCTTTGAACACCATTCACAAAGGAGAAAGCCAAACAAAGCCAGAAAATAGTTTTTATAGGCAATCTGATTTAACTGGGCTGCATTTGATGTTTTTCATTAGCTCTAATGCAACTTTTAAAAGTCAAACAGGCCTTTTAAATGTTTCAAACTGTTGTTTCGGTGTGTTTTTTTA